TCCTTTGCTCTATTATCCTACAGTAGTAATTTTGTAACTCTTCAGTTCTTTCTTATGTGTCTATACCAAGAGCCCACAATTTTCTTTTCCTTGCTTCAGAATGACTTCCCTTCTTTTCCTACAGGACTGAATCAGGTGCCTGTAAGTCACTTTCTCTTCTGGGCACCTATTAGGGCCCCTGGATATCTGACCTTGCTGAGCATCCACTTTCCACTCAAAGAGAAAAAGATTATAATGGGGCCCAGTATGTGCATATGGATCTATTTTTCCTTTCATAGCCTTACAAAGCAAATGAGTGTCAAGAACTTCCATCCCCACAGTTCATGTTCTGGTTGTGAACTAGAGTGCCCACAGGTCCTTTGTGTTCAGTTAAATGTGTGACTACTTCCAGTTTAAAATGAGGCTTAGTGACACTATTAAAGTGAAAGAGGGGTCAGGAACAAGAGAAAAAGAAATTGGCTTGTAACACTTTGGGTCTCAGGATTCTGTCTACCAAAGCAGATGACTAGATTTCCTTGTATTTTAATATATCAGTGCAATTTTGGACATATTTTCAGTATATATCTATTATTTAATTGAACACACTGATTCAAAAAACTGAATAGGCTGCTGATAGGAAAACAAGGTCTGTCAACTGAAATTTAGCCAGTAGAAGAATGAAGATATTCATTTCACAAAAATTTGGACAGACACAGGTGCTATTTCCTAATTAGTCCTTAAAATTTACTAAAGAGAAAACAGTATTTTTCTAAAGAACATTTCCACTTTTAAGAGATTTGCTATGGGGCTATCTTGTCATAAATATAAGCAGCACATCTTCCCAAAGATGGATACTAATGTCTTCCCCTGTGCAAAATATGAAAAACTGCACTTACAAAACCACACAAAACAAATAAATTCCTGTTTGAGATTTGGGGATAGGGGTTTTAGATGCTCTAGAGGAGAAGAGAATTCTTTCATTGTTTCACAGATGTGGCAGGAGCCACATGAAATACAAAGCTATTGTATTTTGTGATTAATCCTTTCCCCTCCATCTCTTCCTTCTCAGTCTGTATTTTCCCTTCCATTGGTGCAGTACCAGAATCCTGTCTTCTCTCTTTCCCGTTCTTACTCAGCTACCCTGCATATGCTATATCTTAGTCTCCTTTTCCTACGGGCATATTTTCGGTGTTTCTGGACATTTTTTTACTGGGGGGGGGAGGGAGGGAGGGGGAAGTAGAGATTACAGTTCCAGATAGATTTTTTTTGCAAAGGTCATTTGATATACAGATTGCATCAAAATTTCTCCAGACATATGGATTTGTGTATGTGTATGAGCACTGGAGCTCAGAGTTCAACAACACTGATACTGTCCTCTATATTCAGAGTGTCAGGTGAAATGGGAAGAAAATTTTGGCAGAAAATAAATCCGCTTGCATTCCAGCCTGTCTTCAGATATTAGAGGGACTGGGGGTTGCTGAGCTTAGGGTTTGATCAATGTTCAATTTGACGTTATAAGACTGGTTGTGCTCAATATGTAAACTTTGACAATTACAGGTTCTCAAATAGCACACTGCCCAATTAGTGTGCATTTGAATGGGCTGTCATGGTCAACCTTAAGGAATCTGGCTGCACCCAATGAGAACTCTCAGAGTTAGACAGTGAATAGGGCAGTTTATCAAAGTAACAGACTACATATCCTTTCTGATTTCTGGTGATACACACACTGTTTGAAAAGCATGTGAAGTTCACCAGGAACATGAATAATATGGACAAACACAAACACGTTAATTATCTCTATTGAGATTCTCAAGTTTTCCAAGTGAAGCATCCATTATAACTGAGTGAATGAATCTTACCTAATTGACTTCCCTTTGAGATGGCAAGAGATGCTCAGCCTATCAACTGGTCCCAGAAGTCAGTGATGTCCTCCTGACTTATCTGCAATGTTATCTTCCTCAAAAATCCTTCATTTTTATACTATTTTCTTACTTTGAGGTGGAATTTGAGTGACTATAGTTAAACATACCTTTGTTTTGAAAAGTTTACTCAGAGAACATGTTTTTGACAGAAAGGTGGACAACTGTTGGCTCAGAGCTGGCTCAGGAAAACCTGATAGTTTATCAGTTCCTGTAGTATCATCAAGTCCCCATTCCTGCACGATGGTCACAGGAATTGGCCACAGGAATTCCATCCTGCTCCACACTTCTGTGTTGTTTTTATCTGAGAGTCAGCATACCAGGCTCCCTCAGTGTTTGCTATCAGCTAAGGTTTGCAGGTCTTGTTTGCTTATGCTTACCTTCTCACAAAAAGTTGTCCTTTCAATAAATCACCTCCTGTATCCATTCCACATAATCTGCTCTGAGACTACCATCACTCAAGCTTCACAACATATGAAAGGAACTGGAGAAGTCACATACAGTCTTGTTATTGAGCTCTAGCTCAAGGGGCTTTCAGTCTGCTTACTGTTTTTGAGGTAAGATGATTGACTCATAGTGTTTGGCAAGACTGTATTATCAGTACTGAGCAGTAATTTGGATGTAAATTCCAGGCTAAAGGAAGAGGTTAAGGGCAGGAGGGACCATACTGTCACACAGCAGTTATTGCTTTTCTCCTCAAGCTGTCCTGCCCTTGTAAAAACTGATTGGTAGGAATGCCTAGTGGTACAACTGCAGCATGGTCTGGGTGTAAATTAAGTTTGATCCTACCTATAATATTGAGCTCTTGCTGCAATTACTCCTTCATGTATGCTCTTCTCAAAGGACAAAAGAGTGCTGTCCTGGTCCCAAGTGAGACTATTGGAAGCATAGTCAGAGTTGCGGTTTGAGATGCAGTTCTGCAAAGAAAAGATGCTGATATTGTAGCTGGAAGGGTTTTTTAAGGGACTGTATTTTGGGAACGTTTTGTACTATAAATGTAAATGACTTGCTTGCTTAATAGGTCAGTACTGGATGCTAGGCCACTTAGAAAAATGTGCATTTAAATTACACATCCAGCTTAGAAGATATTGAAAACTATGACCTATGTGTGATGCAAAATGCATCTACTGATTTGTGAAAATTATGTATATTCCTATTTTACAAAATAAGATATTTAGCTGTAATGTGCTGTCTTGATTTTGACTGCAATTTTGTTAATTTTGTTGAGCTTGTCCAGAGGTGGGCCACAAATAATGATCCAAGGGAAGTAACACTTCCCCTACAAGGATAATTTGAGAAAGCTGGGGATGCTCATCCTGGAGAAGAGAAGGCTCTAGGAAGACATGATAGGGTCCTTTCAATATCTAATTGAGGGTTATAAGAAAGAAGGGGACAGACTCTTTAGCAGGGTCTGCTGTGATAGGACAAGTGGAAATGTTTTCAAGCTAAAACAGGAGACTAAATATAAGGGAAAAATGTTTTGTAGTAAGAGTGATGAGGCAAATGATTTAGTTGCCCAGAGATCCACCAGAGATATGGTGGATTCCTTGTTCCTGGAGACATTCAAGCTGGCCCAGTCTCTGAACAGCTGTTGCAGCTTTACATGACCATGTGCATTGCAGGGGGGTTGTAGATGCCATTTAAAGGTCCCTTCCAATTCAAACAGTTCTATGATTCTATGATAATTTCATTTGTAGTGGCTGGTATTTTGTCATGTTTTGAGTTTAGGAGAAAATTAATGTTGATAACACACTGATATTTCAGTGCTTAGAGTATAAAAAAGATTTTTCATCTTCTCACACTGTCCTATCAGCAAGGAGGCTGGAAGTGTACATGAATCTGAAAGAGGACAGAACCAGAAAGCTGGCCCAAACTGGCCAAAGGAATATTCCATACTGCATAGCAACATGTGGGACAATAAAACTTCAAGGAGTTGGTAAAAGGGGCTGCTTGCTGCTTGGGGTCAGGCTGGGCATTGGCCAGTGGGTGGAACTGTGCATCACATGTTTTGTATATCATGATAAGTATTATTATTATTGCTTCTTTTTCTGTCCGATTAAACTGTGTTTATCTCAAAAACTGACTTCCTTCACCTTTTTCTGATTCTCTCCCTCACCAAACCGGGGGAGGGAAGGAGTGAACTGTTGCCTGTCTAGTTAAATGACAAGTGTGAACAGTGACTTTATGACATTGGCTATTCTAGTCTCTTCCATGACAAATGCCATTTTATTTAAAGAAATGGACTTCAGAGGAGACAACTTTGACCACTTCAAGAATCAACTTGGAGGTAACCCACAGGTTAAAGCAGTGGAAGGTAATTGGAAGGCCCAGGAGAGGTGATTACGTTCAAAAATCAGTTCTGTGCTCCTCATTACAAGAAAGACAGGGAACTTCGTGAGATTCCAGTGGAGGGACACTCAGATGATATGGGGCCTGGGGCATTTCTCTTATGAGGAAAGAATGAAAAACCTGGGACTGTTCAGCCTGGAGAAGAGAAAACTGAGAAGGTTCCCAATGATAGAACAAGGGGCAATGGGCACAAAAATGTGCTTTTATAAATCTATTTCTCAAAGTTTTTAAAACTATAATAAAAAGCTAGTTTGGTCTGAATTCACAAGCTGATTTAATAGGAAACTGAGAAAATGGGGAAAAATTCACTAGTCATCAAATTGGACCCCTGTAGTATTAAAAGGCGTACAAATGGAGCAAGAAGCATCGCTGGTGAAGGGATCAACAGAAATTTGTCAAAGGGATGATAAAAAACATACCAAAGGACAAAAGAAATAGGCAGCACAGTGCTGTTTGTATCGCTGCACTAAAAAAAGAAAATAAATCTTATTTTAAAGACTGTTAGAGTTGTATGGTCTGAACTTAAAATGAGAGAAATACAGTTTCATTAGTTTAATTGAGAAAATGGACTGCAACATGTTTTTTAATTCAATAGCGTACACTTATTTCTGGATAAACTATAATTAGACTCTTTTCCTATGCTTTGAATAAATTTGTTAATGTTTCTTAGAGGGAAAGATGGTGGTTTGTAAAATATTGTCAGCCTGTCACATAAAGGCATGCTCAAAGTAAATGAAATCACAGAGTCTGCAATTTTAAGAAATGTTTTATTATAAAGGATAGGAAATCAAATCCACTTTTTTTTTTTTTTTTTTTTTTTTTTTTCCCCAAACCAAGATAAATAAACAGTAAATATCATGCTGCTGATTTTGAATGTGTTTTGCTTTTTGCATTACATTCTGCAAAAACTGCCTTCCAAATGTGGAGACTAGGAAATATATATCTGTTGAGAACACAGTTGAGGATGGACTTCAGTCTTTGCACATAAATGAAGAACATTTCATAAAACTGCTGGAAACTGAGACAAAGCAGCCCTGTGAAGAAACTGCTGAGCAAGGAGTAGTTTGGTAACTTATTCAGCAGAAAACAGCAAATTAACCCTTGTGCAGGATTATTTCAAATATATATATAAATATATACAAATACACAAAAGGAAAGAGCTTCCCACTTTAAAAAAGCAAACATCAAGTTGTAGCAAAACCAGAGAACCTTGTGGGCTTTGTGTTCTTTAAGAAGGGATGTTTAAAAAATCCAAGCTCTTTTTTTTTCCATTCCATTAAAATAAACTGCTAAAGGAAACAAAAGTTTCTCTGCTAACGTATTTGATCTTCATTTTGCCTAATTTCATTAAGAGTTTAACAAACAAACAGCTTAATCAACAAACAGACAAGCACAATCACCACATTCAAATTATAAGCATGATCTTGGTCCCAGTTTAATCAATAGAAATGTTACTTTTGATTTAAATGGGAGCAAGGTCAAGCTTGCTTTTTTTTTTTTTCTTTTTTTTTTTTTTTTTGTATAGCAGAAGTAGAATGAGTACAAGCTTCTTTCCCAGATTTACTTTATTCACATGATTAAATCACAAGGGACTATGGGCAACCTAACTACTTTTTTGATTGTTATGACAGGGACATTATACTTACCTATAGCTGAATTATGTATCTCTCCACACAACTCTGAAACATTTTAATACAACAGAATTCCTTGTCTTGACTGTAGAAAACTGTAAGTAGTCTTCTAAAGTTCTTTAATACTTATATTCTCTTGAGGTTTTATGCTCTTTGAGTAGGGTCAGGGCTGCATGTACAAATTAAATGACCATCACAGGAAATATACATGCTATTTACATTTCACAATTCCTTTTTTTCTACACAGATCGATGAGTATTTTTTATAGTTGTAGCCTAAGCACTGAGAAGAACTGGCATGCTTTTGATACTCACAAAAATGTAATAATACAGTGAAAAAATGAAAATTTAGTATAAACGTAAAATAATTAATCATAAATTGTGCACATGCAAGGATATTGTACAATGAATTCATTGACTTAAGCCAAGCATTTATGTCATTTTTTATATAACCTAGCAATTTGCCTTCCTGTGTACTTTCAATGGAAATATTCCATGCAAAATCCTATATTTTCTTTAGGATAATATTTCACAGTCTCTTAACCTTTCATCAATTTCTATATGTGACATTCAGACCTCCTTTAATGAAAGAAGGGAAAAGGCTCAAAATTCATCTACGTTTGTTATCACGCTATAAATCCTAGCTCAGAGATTATGCCAATTACCTCTACAGAGCAACTGATTTATGCTTCTTACCCTTATCATTCTTCATACATTTGACTCAGTTTATTTATGAGAAACGTCCTTCAAAGACTTAATAAAAAATAATATTAGCACAAATCATTGGACTCTGGGATTAACATAAATCATTCATTTATTCAAATTCAGTTCATTTTAGAAAAATGATATTTGGAGTGGTCACCTTCAGTTCTTTAACATGAGTTTTAAAAAAGGAGTCTCTATAATTATTTTTTTTTTCATAATAGTGGCATTTCATTTTTAAAAAGCATTCTTCTTAGTGGACCTAAGAGTTTCATAGTTTCAAATTCTGATGCCGTTGTTGAATAACCTGGTATGTTTTTTGCATGTTTTATATATATATACATATATATTTAAGAAAACAACAACACTGCCAAAAAACAACAACATAAAAAGCCCACCACTAACTGACAGACATTGGATTCAGTTAGAGGATCTGGATTCAATTGTTCTTCTCTGGAAAAACTGCAGACACTTTCTTCTAAACCAAGCCTCCCCAAGCCATCAAGACATGGGGTTACTGAAGGGCAGTTTTTGAAGGCTACTGAGTGACAATGAAGTGACTTTGCAGCATCCCTATCCCTGTATGTTGTTTTCGTGAAGCCCTTCACCGTTTACCTCAGACAGTGATAGTAGGGCTGCTGAGGGCAGTGACTTTCTGGTTTGTTCTCAGATCCACCACTGAAAGCTTTTAAAAGTCCAAGGGCCGAATCATCATGGTGGTGGAACGCAAGGAGTAGCTGGGGCCTTTGAAGTAGTGCCACTTGATACCATTGAGCTTTCCATGGTTTTGTCCAGCTGTATAGAACATCCCATTGAGATTGGAGGGGCCACAGGCATCAAACCACCAGCCTGAAAACATAAAAGAAAAACAATTATCTGCAAGGCTAGAAAGAGACTAAGATTACTTCCATTTTATAAGTTTAGCTGATTAGCAACTTCTGGCATGAACAAGCTCATAAAGCTCACAAAGAATCCTGGAATAAGAGATGGTGAGGGCAGTTTTCTGTAGCCAGCTGTGCTGGAGAATACACTGATTTACAGATCCGGAAAAGTATTTAACACCTGTTTGTATACAATGAATGTGAAGCAGGAACAATAAAGACAAACCGTTTTGCATGTTTAAACAGTAATACAGTTAATCCAATTCATGTAAACATACCATAATAAGACAATAACTCACAAAGAGTTTGCATAATTTTACTTATTTGGTTACTTTGAATATAGGTATGATTTAATTACTGGTATTTTTCTTGTTGCTTTGACTGTGATTTTTCTACTGCTCAGAAAATTTATACTTAGTTACAGTAAGATGTTCTTGGCTAGCATAGATTCTGAATATGGTTGTGCTGTGCTGTTATTACAGTATTGGTATGAAATATAATTAGTTTTCATAATGGTGTACATTGAGATAAACAGAATACCCATGCATGGACAGATGGTTTAGTTGCTTCATGTGGTAAGGTGTCAGAATGGCCAACTTCAATCAATGTGAATTCACCACCCACACAGTTTGAGCATGAACAGTTGCATTCAATCCCAGATTTTCCTACTGCTTTGAATGTAAAAAATATATACAGTCTCAAGCTTCCTAAGCCACACTTTGAAATTTGCCTAATACAAAAACTTTGGGGTCGTTAGTGTCAGGAAAGTCCTACCTCAGATCCGTTTGAGATTTGTTCACTTCTCTCTCCAAGTTCTCATCTGGACTTAGAGAACTGACAAATGTCCATTCAAATTTAAAGAACCAAAATGTTTTTTTTAGGCTCTCTATTTACTTGTCTGCAGGTAGCAGAATATTGTTAGTTAAGTGACTATCACTGACTAAGAAAAGTTATTACAAAATACAATTGATTGGTATCATAAGTAGGATTAGAAGGTGCTGTCTTCTCTGCGCTTCTATCCTGCCTGTTTTTTCCCTGCTCCTTCCTCCCTGACCCTTTGAACTCCGAGTGCAGTCTCATCTATTTTATTCTTTCAGAAACACAGGGCAAGAAAAGTCTTCCCCAGCTCTTGTGCTTCCAGACTGTTGTTCCTGAAGTAGTATTGTGAGACTGTTCTGAAAAGTGAGGTGATGTAGATTTTGGAAAAATATAAAAATAGATAAAAATAGATATTTGCTTTTTGAAAACAAAACACCAGTCTGGTTTGCAGAATGATTTCACGAACTGTTGAGCAGGCATAAATGAAGGAGCAGTAAACTGCTCCTGAAGGAGCATCTCCCCTATGAAGAAAGGCTGAGTGAACTGGGTCTGTTTAGCTTCGAGAAAAGACAACTGAGAGGGGATCTAATCCAGGTTTATAAATATCTGAGGTGTGAGGGCCATAGTGGTGAGGCCAGTCTCTTTTCAGTGGTATGTGGAGACAGGACAAGGGGAAACAGACATAAGCTGCAGCACAGGAAGTTCTGCACAAATGTGCGCAAGAACTTCTTTACAGTGAGGTGACGGAGCACTGGAACAGGCTGCCCAGGGAGGTGGTGGAGTCTCCTTCTCTGGAGATGTTCAAGACCTGCCTGGATGCCTACCTGTGCGACCTGCTGTAGGGAACCTGCTTTGGCAGGGGGTTGGACTCGATGATCTTGGAGGTCCCTTCCAACCCCTACAATTCTGTGATTCTTTGAATCTGAAACTGAGAAGTTAGGTCTAAAAAGAAATGCAACAGTTCAGCAACTTTTCAGCCTGAGATTTCTGGCAAAGAAAATGCATGTAGAGCAATACCTGCACCTTTGTGAGTGCTTTGTTAACAGAGCACTGACAATAAACCAGAAATACTTATCAAGTACTTGTGAATATTACTAACAGTGATGGAGTTTTTGTGGTTGAATGCAGAAAATTCAAACTTGCTATGAGCGCAGCTTTTGTTGCACATTGTATGCAAAAATATCATCTTGCCTTTAGACTTCTGTAGTGAAGATATGCTTATATGTCTTTAACCAGAAGAGAAAATGGGACAAGTGGTAAAAAAGCGATTCTTCAGATCTATTTAAGTAGATGCTTTAAGATGAGATTAACCAGTAACCTCACTTAATTACATTCCCAAGATGTCCAATAATAGAAGAACTCTAAATTAGTTAACTGTGATAAAGACATCAAATGCAGTGAGAGTATCCCACTCAAACTACTTGTATGTTTTAGAATGGAAGAGCCCTGAGCAACATTTGCAGCATCCCTTCTGTATGAATTTGATGATTTGCCCTGCAGATCCCATGAGCCCTGAGGTACCAAAAAGCAGAAGTTACCAAAAAACCTACACAAAATTCGTTTTTCAACAGTATGAAAAGTTGAAACACTTTCATATTAAGGTGAATTTTAGATTGTAAGGGGAATTTGAGTTTTAAGGAAAACTCTAAACAACATAAAACTTGGCAACAGTGTGATTACAGAACACAAATTGACAAAGATAAACTAGGTGACATGCTGACTCCAGTGAAGTTAGTGGGAGTTTTGCAGAATATCTTGATAGGAATGTATATATTATTTTTTTCTGCAATACCTTACAGAATATCTATGTAATATAGTGGGAAGATGCCTGGTTTAGACTGAGAAAGGCAGAATGAATTCCCAGGCTGCAAAGAGCTAATACTCCCAATGCCAAGAACATATTGACCTTGGTGGTTAGAAGCTCTATTTGTCATAAAGATTTGTGCAGCTTTTCTTCATAGTAAGCCCAATAGTCTTCTTGAATCTTCAGTACAGGTTTTACACATATTTCCATATAACTTTGTTGTACTGAATACTTGCTTTTACTACTTTTATTTCTTCAAGCAAATAAAGACATGAAGTTTAGGTAATGGCTGTTACTCTTGATGGCTAGATTCTTGTTGCTTTAAAAAAGTCATCCCAGCATTATAAGTTGTCCAGGACCCCCTGCAAAACTATTTCAGACACCAGTAAAGGCAAACAATGCTTATCTAATGAGAGGCTACTGAACTCCATGAGTGCCAGTGTGGACCGAAGTACAGAATTTTAATTTTCAGTGTGGCTCCCACTAAATTCTCCCCAATAAATTCTGAAAACAGAATTAAACTGTGAGAAGCTCCTTTTAGTAACGGGTGCTGCCCTAGTGAATCTTCCAGTATCCTCCTACTGACAGAGAACCTTTTATCAATCTGTAATGAACACACTTACGAGGGTATGCTAAACCATACCCTACTACTATTGATAAAATACTGGCAGCAATTAGCCTATAGATTTAGTGTTTACACTGTTCTTTGTATTCAAATTCATATAATTTATGCTTCCAGCCCTGTAAAGTAATTTCTTAGATTTTGGATTATACTTAGTGGGGTTTTTTTTTTTCAGAAGTAACACTTCATAGTGAAATCTTAAGGGAAGAATTTATGCCAGATAAATTCTGGCAGACCTCTGTTTGAATACAATTGACCTCCCTTTGATTACAGTGATATACCTAAGGGGGTAATAAGTAAAGAAAGAGAAAGCTGTACAGATGATGTTTTACTGTAACAAGAGTATAATCTTGTAGAAACTTAAGACAAAGTTAAATAGAGAAAATCTAATCCTCATTTTTCAAAGCTGGAACACAGATGCAGTTGAGTTCTGTTTACAGTGCTGGGATGAGGATATGTCAAGCTGTGCTAGATACCATTTCATTCATCTTAAAGGAACTGCAACAGATGCATGAACTGACTTTTTAGGGAGAAGGTTTTCTGCAATGCTGTTCAAAATTGTGTTAAACAATGAAATGATTCAAAGATACATAGGATTTTACAAATATTTTGTGTGGACCACTTAATTCTCACATTGCAGACTTTTAATCAATTACTTCTTTCAAAATATGTTTTAATGAGCATTTGTTTTTCTTGCTGTATTGGATTTGTTTGTGAGGCCGTTCAATTTTTTAAAAAGATTTTTCCTAATACTGCATCAAGATGCTAGCTTTCCTTGCTTGTATCTTTCTTTTAAAAAACAAACAAACAAACAAACAAAAAACCAACAACTTTTCCCTTTATTTATTTGCTTTTTTTTTTGCTTTTTTTTTTTTTTTTCCCCCATTTGATTATTTCTTTGTGTCTTCCCGTGTAGTCCTCTAAAAACTCTTCACTCCCCATAGGGTCTCAGATTATCACAAAACTTACAAGTGCGTGTCTCAACACCAAAGTAACCATATTTGGATAAATGCAATTGAAATGTTTTGGTTTGGTTTGGTTTGGTTTTCCTACAAACTAAATTTTATAGACTGGGGAAAGAGGAATAGAAGCAGTGCCTTTCTTGGTAGCTATGATGAAATGGGGGAACATAAAACTGAAGTACCTAAAAGAGATATCTGCAACACTGGCCAGTGCAGCAAGCAAAGCAGCTCCAGGGCTGTGAGACAATCTGAAACAAGGAAAGACTCCCAATAGTTAGATGCTAGCTCATTTCCTGATTTCCACAGGATTTTTCTCTACTGAAGAATCTTGTTTATGTTTCACTACAAAGTAATGGATTTCCCAAATGAGCATCAAGACCATTTGGAATAGCAGTAAGATTTTAACCTCAGATATAACTTTTGGCAATGATTTCTGACACTTGAATCATGCATACGGATCATGAAAAGTAGACATTATGAGAAATAATAGTAGAAGAAAGATATTAAAGTGACTAATGAAGTGATAAAGAGGAGGCTTTCACAAGAAGGTTAAGAAAGATTTTACTTTAGAAACACAGGTAGTTTCTTCAAGCTGCTGTCAACATCAGTTGCTTACTTACTAATGTGAAATGAGGATAGTCTTACAGTCTTCTGTGACTAACCCATTTTTAATAATTTTCTATTATAATTAGTAATTTTTCTACCAGGAATGCTATCATCTCTGTTCACAATAACAATCCTTAGGTCATAAAGTATATTGT